GTACGCTGGTGCTCCAAGATGGGGGTGGTACCTGCAAAAGAGACTCCGATGCTAAAGTTAGTTCTTGTGGGAGTATGAATCTCGTATAAGTAATGCACGTACCTTAGTGTGGATTAGGGTTACTTTGGGCCTTGGGCCTGAGATAAGATATGATAGGATTAAATGGTGGATCCCGTCTGAAGCGAGATCCCTCGAGATCGGTTATGATCTGCTTAAATGCCGAGCTGACGTCGCGTAACGCGTACCCGACCTCATTTTGTGCTGTGATGCCGAGCTCGGAGCTCGGCTTCGCGGTACGGACAGTACACTTATAATTTAAAATAGTTATTCAAATTTACATGTACAAAGAATTTCCTTAATTTCAGTTTAAATATAAATTAATTCCTAACTAGGAGGCTCTGCCACCTTTGCTTTAATTAATCTATATTTTCCTTTATATGATTTCTTGAATCTTAATACTTATATGTTGACTTTTTATGATTGATGAGTTACGAATGTGAATCTTCTACCTTATAATATTTGAAACAATTGTTTTATACATGAAAGATGTTATTAAACTATGAAAGATTTTATTTACCCAAAAAGAAAAAAAAAAGAAATCTTTCTTATTATTTAATTGTGAATTGATGATGGGGTAGAGGGTGTCACAGTTTGCTTCGTCTGTCGCGCGTCTACTATGGCTTTTGTTGAAAACCATAGGCGTGGCCGATAAGAGCTGTCTTGATCGGCCCCACGGTGGGCGCCAAATGTTCTTATCGGAAATTAATTGTAGAGCTGATCTGCCAGGTAAGATCGGTGAGCCTCCTTCACTTGTACGCTGGTGCTCCAAGATGGGGGTGGTACCTGCAAAAGAGACTCCGATGCTAAAGTTAGTTCTTGTGGGAGTATGAATCTCGTATAAGTAATGCACGTACCTTAGTGTGGATTAGGGTTACTTTGGGCCTTGGGCCTGAGATAAGATATGATAGGATTAAATGGTGGATCCCGTCTGAAGCGAGATCCCTCGAGATCGGTTATGATCTGCTTAAATGCCAAGGCTTCAGTGGGGCATGCTCTGATAGGATGTGACGTCGGGCATAGCTAGGTTTATTTTGGATGTTATTATATTAAAAAGCTTTAATTTTCTCTTCTTATGTAATTTTGAACGTTCCTGAGAAAAGACCAAAATGTACATCTTTATTATACTATTTTATTATATGATTTCAAAGTTATAAATTAATTCCTAACTAGGAGGCTCTGCCACCTTTGCTGGAATTAATCTATATTTTCCTTTATATGATTTCTTGAATCTTAATACTTATATGTTGACTTTTTATGATTGATGAGTTACGAATGTGAATCTTCTACCTTATAATATTTGAAACAATTGTTTTATACATGAAAGATGTTATTAAACTATGAAAGATTTTATTTACCCAAAAAGAAAAAAAAAAGAAATCTTTCTTATTATTTAATTGTGAATTGATGATGGGGTAGAGGGTGTCACAGTTTGCTTCGTCTGTCGCGCGTCTACTATGGCTTTTGTTGAAAACCATAGGCGTGGCCGATAAGAGCTGTCTTGATCGGCCCCACGGTGGGCGCCAAATGTTCTTATCGGAAATTTATTGTAGAGCTGATCTGCCAGGTAAGATCGGTGAGCCTCCTTCACTGGTACGCTGGTGCTCCAAGATGGGGGTGGTACCTGCAAAAGAGACTCCGATGCTAAAGTTAGTTCTTGTGGGAGTATGAATCTCGTATAAGTAATGCACGTACCTTAGTGTGGATTAGGGTTACTTTGGGCCTTGGGCCTGAGATAAGATATGATAGGATTAAATGGTGGATCCCGTCTGAAGCGAGATCCCTCGAGATCGGTTATGATCTGCTTAAATGCCGAGCTGACGTCGCGTAACGCGTACCCGACCTCATTTTGTGCTGTGATGCCGAGCTCGGAGCTCGGCTTCGCGGTACGGACAGTACACTTATAATTTAAAATAGTTATTCAAATTTACATGTACAAAGAATTTCCTTAATTTCAGTTTAAACGTTCAAATATACACAAAAGGCCATCAACTTTAAAGAGAAAAAAATTACATAAAAATATTTCAACACCATTCCTGTTTTATTTCTTCTTATACACCCTTTTCTTAATATTTTTTTTTCCCTTTTATTCACCCTCGTGAACAATGAGAATACTTCTACCCTTTCACAGGACAATCTCTTAATAACTTGTGTTCTGTTCTCTTCAGTCATTCCTTGGCAGTGTGAGGACTGTTTCTATGCCCTGATGATGCCATTAGCACAGCAACAGCCACAATAAACATAAACAACATACTCCCTAGCAGCATATATGTTCTTCTTGATGATTTCCGGTACTCCCCAAACAAAACAACACCCCAAAAAGTGCTTACAAGTGGAAGTGCCTGTTTGATCAACACACATTCAAATGATGAAATGATTCAGAACTTCATTGAACACACAAAAGTCAGATACATTCATTAAAGGGAAATGATACTTGTACAACATGGTATAACAATTTGTAAAATATCATTTTTTTATTTGTTTCTTTTCATCACATTGATGGAGACATATACACACAAAAAAATGAAGTTATACAAATTGTTGTATTTATATTATTATTCTATAAACAACCTTTACATTGTTAGTGCATTTCAATTAAATTCATTTTTTTAAGCTAAAATAAAATTTTGATCCCTTATTTTTATTTTAGGTATCAATTCAGTCTCTTAAATTTATAAAGTTTCACTTTGATGTCTTAAAATATTTTTTGTTATCCAAATTAGTTCCTTCCGTCAACTTTTTTCTCCCAGAGATCATTTAATTTTGATTGATATCACATCTTCACAACTTGTCACATGCCATTAAATTGATTAAATTAGTGAGCTAAATTGACGGAAGGATCAATTTAATTTAGCATAGATACTTAAGAGATTAAAGTGAAATTTTTTAAACTTAAGGAAACAAATGGGAACTTAAAATAAAAAATAAGGACTAAAATTATATTTTATCCTTTTTTTCAATAGAAGTAATAAAACTAACCTGGACAGCATCTGCTGCTGCATATCCTGCAGCTTGACCACCCATGAATTGGAGACCATTTCCAAAGCCACAAAGGATACCAGCCAACAAGGCCCAGACTCTGCCATCTGAGTCTGCCAAGTAAGCCTTGAATGATGACTTGGGTAAGTTTAGGACAGGGTGGTAGAGGAAGGTGATGTTTAGAATTATGGCAATGACAAAACAAGAGACTGAAAAATAGAAGAAGGCAGTGTAAACTGTCAAATGGGGAACCCCTTGTTTTAGAGTGTGCCATTGGTCATTTGTTGCTATGTTGAATGCTGGTGAGAACATAGAGAAGCAAAGTCCAGCAAAGAAAGTTATTGCCAATCCAATCAAAGTGCTCTTCCCAAAAACCTGCACCAGAATTTAAGTGTGAGATGTAGAATTAAGGTCAAGGATTTGGTTTTGACAAGTGTTGGTGCCATATAAGGTTGACTAAGAGAAAGCATGTTCTACTGTTCAAGTCATTATCCCATAACACATCAAAGACATGTTTGGATAAATCTCTTCAGAAGTACTTCTAGGAGAAAACATCTAAAAGAATATTGAAATAAGTTTCTCTATAAGTTAAAACTAACTTATACTTACACTAAATGAAGAAGTTAATAAAAGAAAGTTTCTTCAAATTAGCTTGTGCACAAGTTAATCTTAGTTCATGCAAAAACTTATTTTTTCTTTCTAGTTTTTCTCTTTTAGATGTGTTTCCTGATAAGTTTATCCAAACAGAACTTAAATATATTATAAACTATAGTCACCTGCCTTGATAGCTCTTTTCTCCTCAAGCTCTAGGAGGAAAACTGCAGTTCCTGCTTTAACAATGTCTGCTGAATCATTTCCATCCTCGAGATCTTTCGATGTAACTATAATAATATATATTGAAGAGGTAGAATAAGTTGACATGTTATCCTATATAACAAACTCACATTTTGAACCACAAGAGATCTCCTTACCTAAATTTCCTTCCTTCGAAGAGTTGCTGGCAAAAAATTGTTAACAGAGTTAGTAATACACCACCAAATTTATATAGCATCAAAATCCAATACAATCATTGACAAAATACGCGTGCTAGGATCCAATTGTAAGGTATGTGACATAAGTTTCACATAAGTATACACTATACAGGATCAAAATCAAGTTGACAATAATATTAGGGAATCACTTTGGAAGGAGCATTAATCATAAATTTAACATCTATACCCAATAATACTCGTATCTCAAAAATAATTGTAAGCAAACAACACATACAAGGCTCCATCTTTGTAATCACTTGAGAAATTGTTGAGCTTGGCTTTATTATCAGCAGTATTAGATGAATGAACAGCAGAACCTAGAAAAACTGCAATCAAAAAGCAACCAACTCCTGGGAAAAGGATCTCAGCTTTATTGATTTTGTCATCCAAAAAGTAATTCAAGCTTGTGCCTGTTACAATTGGAACAAGGATAGTGATAGAATTCAGTACTGCAGCAAGCTGAAAATCATCACAAAAGTCAAACTTTTTAGTACATAGCCTATGCACACTACCCTCATATCCTTGCATGGCATGTTCATCCATGTCATTGAGCGTATATTTTCGTTAGCATTCATTTTACATGTGCTTTAATTTTTGTTTGTATACTAATTTAATCATTTTGGAGTGGTTATGTCATTGAATTACCTATAACAACAGTTATGCTTGCTGTGAGCACTTCAGTAACCGATAGCCCAACAAAAGCAAATGCATACTGTGAGGAAAGATTCCCAAGGCTAAGGACTACACCACCTCCCATTGCAAAAAGAACGGAGGGCCAATTATCCTGCACGAAATAACATAAGCAAATTGTTAAACCAATTGTAAACATAAAAAGAAAAAAAAAATACAATTGAATCTAATGTTCAAAGCTAAACATGCTTTTAACTAAATAGTTTCAAAGATAATTAAAATTAAACTTGCACATTACTAGAATTTAAATGACTATAGATTACCAACAAGTAATGGTACTGTACTCGATCCTTTTAAACAAGATCTCGGATTCAAGTTTTGAATATGGAAAAAAAAAAAGTAGTCGGGAAAGAAGACTCCTTTAAAAGTGGCCAGATAAGTTTCTTGACAGAGATTAGTCTCGGCAAAGTCGATAAATACTTCGTACCAATAACATATTTAGCAAAATACCATAACTGTCCCCAGGTTTTACTGATAATTTCTCATGTTATCTATAGTTAAAACATAAACCTGCTCTTCAGTTTATTTTGAAAAGGAGAGTGTAGATGCATCCTTGAAGGCTTAAAGAAAATCAGGCACAGGCTGTGAAGGAGGGAGTTTGTACCCTTTATTTGTTTATATTTGTAAAGCTTATATATTAAGGGACTTGGAGACATTTTGATAGTATTATGGAATCATTACCATAAATATCATTAAGAAATATAATTCATAACTTGATAAAACCATTTTACAACAACTTGGAAACTCAAAGACATTCCATCTTCAAATATTATTCCATTTATGTTACAACTGACTGACACAGTACAGGCACTATATATAACTATAACTAGTTGCAAAGCAAAGTAACAATATATAATTCTTAGATTTCTGGTATTCAAACACAAAACTTGTAGCTTATTGATGATAGTGACATAGCATATAACTCTTCAACCCATTTAATATGTCATGAATGCTTTTGTTTCCAAAATCACACTTTCCGAGATATCATATCACATCTACTGATGAGGCATCATATGCGATCATGATCACTCTCACATGCTTTATAGAACCTTTATTTTAGGATAAAACATGTTTTCGGTCCTTAATTTTCAGTCAAAATCGGTCTGTACTTTAAATATAATTTTAGTTTTCATATCCTTTTATAGTCCGGTCATAGTTATCAGCATCTTACAATTCACGATTTGAATCTTATGATTCGATACAATTTTTGACAACTTAACAACACGTATCCTAACATGAAGCTAAAATGGTTTTGTATCTTAAGATACATGAATGAATCTATATAATTTCGTATCATTGATACAAATCATATGATTCAGCGATTCATTATTTTTTTCATTTTTACCTTAGTTTTACCAATTCTCATAAAAAATTAAGTCATATAAGCTTAAATTGTTGAATGAAGAAGAATTGGTCAAACAAAACTGGGTTTTTGGGAGCTTTGTTGTTGAACTGTGCAAACAGTCACTTCTTTTGACCTTGTGGTTGTTATTATTTGTATCTTTGTTTATATTTCTAGCTCATATGCTACTATATATGTGTATGATTTCATTTTCATATATATATTTTTTATGTCAAAATATGGTTAGAGTGCTATTCATGATTTGGTTAATTTTATCTCTATTGAATTTAGAATTCCAGAGTAAGGGATGAAATTCACCGATTATTAAAAAATGCGAGAACCAAAATTATCATTTTCAAAATATAGGAAATAAGATCAATTTTGACCAAAATTAATTACCAAAAACATATTTTATCCTTTATTTTATGAAAATAACAACTGCAAAATACAACAAATAGTCATACCTGAGCAAGTTGAGCCAAGAAATTAGGCTCATCAGGTTTGCTTTTGCCTATCTCACCAAATGTAAAAGCAATGATTAAAGCAGCCAGGAAATTGGTGATTGAGTAATCAAGGTAGGTATGCTGAGGAAGACGACCACGCCTCTCTAGCATAGTCAAAAGTGCAGGCCATGTCCCCAAGAAGAAAAGAGCCAAGAACATGCATGCTACGGCTCCTCCTTTGCTCTCCACCAAATACATTTTCAACCCACTGGTGCACAAAATGCTCTCAGAAAGTGAAGGAACCAAGGAGCATATACCAGAGAACTCCTGAAAGCAGCATGAATTAGTCATACTTCAGTTAAAAAATATCAAAATGATGAGCTATTACTGGAATGTCACAAGCAATAATAACCCAATAAAAAGTCCATCCACATAAAAGTGGTTAGAAATTCAACTATTCAAGCAACATGGAAGGGGTGAATCTCCTATAACAGTCAGAAAATCACAATCAAAGGCAAGGGCAAAAGTTGTGCATATAAACGGCTTAAAAAGATTACTTTTTAACACCGAAAAGAAACTCAAATTGAATAGGGGTGAAAAGGAGAAGAATTATCTACACACAAGCACAACCAACAGGAGTTGAGTCTACTAGAAAGGGGAAACCAACTAAAGGCAAGTATATAATATAATGGAGTCAAAATTTACTTTTTAACGATGAAGTATCCAAATGGGAAAATTGAATAAGAGAAAAAAGAAGCATAATCTTCAGAAAGTCAAGCACGGAAAAATTGGAAATACACAATGAACGGCAGAGAACTGAGAAAGAATCCAGCTACCTTGGAATCCATGGATCAGAAACAATAGGAATTAGGAAGTCAGCTATGAAAGTCAAAAGATAAAAGCCTTTGTGGAAGCCAATCAATTAAATAAAAGCTCAAACAGTGAATAAAAATCTACCAAGTTTTACTAGCCACACACACAAAGCAATTGTGGGCCACATGATGAAGAAATGTTTGAACCTTTGATGCACTAATCAGGCCAAAACTTCCCCGGAAAATGGTTTCAAAATCTCAAAACACTGTTGGTGGAGAGAAAATTCACCCTATGCTGATCTGCACAATTTGGAAGTACTTGAACTGAGAATGATAACAAAGAAGAAAAAAGTAAGAGAGAAGTGTGAATGCAAATTGTTCCTGTCACCTAACAATGAGAAAACCACTACAATGATGTACCCTTTGAATTGTGAGTACACTTCATTGGATGCAACTCAATTGAGGGGAATCTTCATACAGGATTCCAACTTTTTGGTTGATAATGTCAATTAACTGATTTTTTTTTAATTGGATGCAGAAGAATCTGCTTTTTGACTTTTATTTTCGTAAATCCCAAAAATGACAGGCAGGCCATACATATCAATTGATATTAGGAATTTTGAGAGAGAATTTCTCACTATGGAATCGAATCTCGGATTTTAAAGCATCTTATGAATGTTTGTAATTGAGATTTTTTATAAGATGGAAAGTAATACACCCTGAGTCCCACAAATATTTTAAGATTTTTATACACGATTAATAACATTATTTTTTATATATATATAATTTTATTAAAATAATTGATTCTTTCAATAAATACATTATTTTAAATTATAAAGATTAAATAATTTATAAAAAAATAAATTAAGAAAAGGTTAATTAATTTTACATTTTTGAGACTTTGATTTTCAAATGTAAAACTACCGTTATTATGAAACAGAGAGAATATTCTTAAACTTTTTACATGTATTGTCATGTTTTAATGAATTGCAAAATTCCGTTAATAAAAGTGGGAAAGAGCTTAACAATAATAGGATAAAGATATAATTTGTGTTTCTATAACTTTATGCAGAAAAATTGGACAAAGGTAGCTATGTAATCAAATAGAATTTGGAAAATTGAGACAATTTCATTTTGTATTTGGACAAGTGTTTTAATAGACATAATTTTTCTTCATACCTTTTTTTTTTCAATGAAAAGTAAATAACTATGATAGTTTATCATATTCGTAAATTTGTGTTAAAAAAAATTATTACGCAAACGTAAATTAGCAAATGTTTGAAAAAATTGTGATTACAAAGTAAAATATTTATAATTATAATTATAATTATAATTATATATATATATAATTTCTATAATTTTTCACATGTAGTATGACTAGATAAATAATTTTTATTTTTAAAAGATATTTTAGTTTTTAAAATCAACTAATAAAATTGTTCAAATAGTTAGTGGTCGTTAATGCAAACAAGCAAGATACAAAGTATGGAATTGAGAGAAATTGAACAAAATGAAAATAAAATATGTTAGTTGCTTTTAAAATAAGTATTTTAGAAATATTTTTTAAATTACGAATAAAAAAAACTAGTTTTTAGTAGTGTAGGTTTACTTTAAAAACCAAATTTTATAATTAAAATTTAAAATAATTAAACTTGCCAATAGGACACTTATCAGTGTACCGGTAGTATACGGTATATTCTTCTTATTATTATTTTTCTTAATTTTTTTTTAATAAATCATCCACCGTTAACGTTTGTATTTTGTAGCAACTATCAAGCCAACAACGCAAGCTATTTTATTTTTAGAATGTTTTAAAATTTTAAATTTGTGTCAATATTTATTTTTAGTTTTTGAACATTTTTTAACTAATTTTAGTAGTTAAATTTTTTTGTTGATTTCTGCTTTTAGCTTTTAAATTTTTTATGGTATTAATATTTTGGTCCTTGCATCAAAATTTTTTGTTCATGAAATTTTTTTTGAAGAACAAAACTTTATTTAAATAATTAATATCTTTAATAATTATTTTTTATATGTATTTTAAAATAAAACTTTTCATCATGTTTAAGAAATGAAACTATCGACTAATTATACTATATTATCTTAATATGAATTGTATTTCATCTATATTTATTATAAAAGATATATTTTTTATATTCACTAGATTATTATATTTTTTAAAATATAAAAAATAATAATTTTGCATATTCTCTTTAAATAAATATTTACAATCATTTATTTTATTATTATTTTAATTTATTTTTAATTTAAGAGATAGGAAATATTTCTTTTTTCCCTGCCAATAAAGAATAATATTGTAGACTTTTCCAAAACTTGAGAATTAATAATAAATATGAGTAACATCCGAATAACTTAATTTAATAGGGAGATCCTAGGGTAAATCTGTTATAGGTGATGTATTGATTTACCAGAAAATCACCCGTTGTAGCAAGTTTTTCAAACTTATATGAAAATTTTCAATGAAATTACAAATTGTTACAAAATTTGCATGAAACAATATAAAAGTACTACATACGTTCCATTTTATTCATTTTTCCGCCCTATCTTTCCTAAGGGTAGCACCGACTTCATGGATCGAGCTTATCCCTTTGCATTGTATTGTGTGAGAGTGAATAAATGATATATTAATTAGAGCTTGAATGGTGAAAGTTTTCTGATAAGAACCCTACGCTGGTAGCAGATTTTTTTTTTTTAGGTTCGTTCATGGAGTATCTACCGCCGACAGCAGTGACTAATCTCCTCGCTACGTTGGAGGCGCGGCTGCATACACAAAGCAGGATTCGAACCCCTGACCTTGCTTAAGCGTGGATCAACCCCTACCACTGAACCACACGCTTGGGGTTATAACCTATGCAATTTATTGCTTCTCTACTTTTATTTTCTTATTGTTTTTTAATGAAATATAACTTTTTACTACGTTGAGTTGACAAAAAATTCAAATGCAAGCAGAAACAGCTACATTGCATTGCTTATTCAACGAGTATCTTTTCTTTTCTACACCCATTTTACACCGCAACTAGATTTTACCCTTATGATGCACACGATGACTTCATTTTAAGATGATTAAAGAATTTATTAATATAAAAATGGATTAAATATCCCTATAATTTTCTTCATTAGTAATGTTAATCAATTATTGTTTGGACTTAACAATTAATCTTGATTTTTTAATATGTGTGTGTGTGTGATTTTTTTGTTTTTGGTCTGCATATTATTTTTAACAATTTTAACCTTTTTTTTATAAAAATTATATAACTCATATAATAATTATTATTTATAAATGACAGATAAGTCTTTTCGTATAGAAGTTTTATCCGTAAAATTGTCAATAGTTGTATATATGTGGCCAATCCAAGACCCTGGCCAGTGAAAACAACTTTTTTAAAAAATAATCACCATCATACATAAGAAAAATAAAATATAAATGCTTAAATCATAAAAATATAATATATCTAATCAAATAAATTACATGTTTTATAATTTTCCTCTACGTGATTTTATGTTTTGAAATCATTGAATGATAAGTTTATTATCAATGTTATTGAAACATATCATTCTCAAGATAAGTTATAAGACAATTATTCATCCATGCATCTCCCAGTTGATTACGCAATTTATTTTTCACAATTTTCATAACAGAAAATGGTCTTTATATGGTGGTTGTGGAAAAAAACATTGTTAACTTTAAAAGAAGATAAAATAATGGATAAATAATATGTCTCCCAATTTCAATCAATTTTTCAGAAAAATTACCAATTCCCTTCAAAGATGCAAATTTCACATTGCTATGCATATCAATGATGTAAGTTTCAAGTTGATTATCAAGCATCACTAAATTAAATTATCAAGCATCACTAAATTAAATGAAGAAAATTCACGTGGATAAAACTTTGCAAATTCAACTAGTCATGCCTTCTCAAAAGTAGAGAACAAATTAGTTGGATCCAAGATAGTCATATAAAGAAGCAATTGTGTATTTGTCTAAGTGAAATGGTCATTCAAATCTTGTTGGTATAGTATATTTTTTATCCTATGAGAGAAGTTGAGATAGGAAGAAATAAAAATTTTATTATTTGAACATGATTAATATCATAATTTTAAAACTTGAGCCAGTAGTTGACCGATAGGGATACTAGGCTAATGAGCCACTAATCAAACCAATGAGACACTAATTAAATTGTATAAACTAGTATAAATAAAATATAATATAATTTTAAAATATATATATATATGTAAAATATAGGACAAAATTTAGGTATAGTTCCTTAGGCACAGTTGGTGTTATTCTCCAATCAGAGTTGAAGTCTTACCTTGGTATTTGCAAGTGCATTTAATGCAAGTCTCATCGCATACTATCGAGGTAAAACTCCAAGTCTGATTGGAGAACAACACTAATTGCACCTAAAGAATTATACCCAAGTTTTGTCCTAATATATATATATATATATATATATATATATATGAGGAGGGTTCAAACGACACCGGTGTAACTTTTATTAAGTGTTATACAGCTCAATAACTTTATATTAAATGTGAATTTTCAAAATCTAACCGTTAGATTGAAAGTTCATATCTCTTAGATCATATATATCAAATTTTATATTAATCTAAAATGATTTGATACTTCATTCTCATAAAACAAAATTGGCGTAATATATACATTTCAAAATATACTAAAATATGAACACTTTGATTACCTTCAAGTTGTTGTTCAATTTTAACAAAATTTGATATATATGATCTAAAAGATATGAACTTTCAATCTAACGCTTGAATTTTGAAAATTCACATTTAATATAAAGTTATTGAACGATGTAACACTTAGTAAAAGTTACACCGGTGTCGTTTGAACCCTCCTATATATATATAATTGCATGGTTTAGTGGTTAAGTTAATTTTCCAAACCCGTTAAACCATGACTCAATCCATGCTAAAAACTATTTTATTATATTTTAATAAAATTTAACTTTTTATCTATAATTAAGGGTTTCATTATATGATATTATAGGGTCAAGATTTTAAATTTTTACACATGTGCTAAATTTTATGAAACTGAGGGGGTGCATTTGTCCACCCTCACTTAAATGTGGGTCTACCTTCACCCTTTACCCCGCATGCTTTCATTTTTAGTAAACAACTGAAAGTTTAAATAAAAAAAAATTAATTGTAAGATGAATAGAGTTTGCAAAATGCCTTCTAATGTAGACTCACATTTCTTTTATAATACTAAATCAAGTTTTAAGTCGAACTTTTAGAAAACGATAACATGAATAAAAAATAATTAAAACAAATCCAAGAAGCATCAAAGGCCATACAAAACTCTAAAAGAACTAACAAAAGGTTTCTAGTCAACATAATTAGATTCTAACTTAAATTTTCAAAAGGAAACATAAACACATGAACTCCAAATCCCTCAATGTCACATCCTATATCAAAACATATCTCAACCATAGCCAAGGCATAATGCCTCATCACTAGCATCATCATGACCCCCCCCCCCCACCTACAAAACATATAACAAAAACAATCAACACAAAATAAGGCAGTGAGATACGTCTCACTTTTGCACCTAGTGAGATAAGACTTGGTAGCCACAAACATAAACACGTACTAAGGAATATAATAACAATTTCATAATCAAGAATTTTTTTTTTCTTGATTTATCTTTTTTTTTTATATAGCAAAATGACTCTTTTTCTTAGCAATTATTCGTGAAGAAGCATTTTCCTCCTTTTCACTCCTCTCGCCCTCTAAGAGTTATTTTTCTTTTTCTTGTATTTTCTCATTTTATTTTACCTCATAAGTTTCATTTGCATTTCATTCTCTTTCACTTGGATAGGTGTAAGAGGCTATAATACATATTTCTTATATTTGTGAGTGAGGGATATTTCATTAGTAAGACCATTATGTATGGATTTTCTATCAAATTTCCATGATTTCTCTAACAAAATATGTTAAGCTTCCATGAGAACCACATCACATAAAACTTTATCTTTTTATAGTTCCCTATAGAAAACTTGATCTTCACTTGTGGATTTACTCTCATATCCTTCTTTTCATTAAACCATTAAAGATTATAAGGTTTTGGGTGAGAAATGGTAGTGAGGGCTAACTTAGCAACCAACCTTGTGCTACAACAATTAGAGCTTGAACCACTATCAATAATGAGAAAACAAGTTTGTTATAAAATTTTACACCTTGTATGTAAGATATTCTCTCTTTGAGAAGTGCTAATATCACAAGGTTAGTTTTCAAGAAGCCTTCTAATTAATAAGAGTTCACCATCACATGGATAAGTTTCCTCCCCACTAGAGCTTTCTACCCTTTCTTCTTCACTACCACTAGAGGTGGAGGAAGAAGATATAGTCTCCTCTTGACTAATATAATGGTCCTTGCCCTTAAGATCATGGTCTTTTTGGTGGGGCATTGCGAGGCAATGTGATCTTTCTTAAAACACTTAAAACATTTAATGTTACTAGTCTTAGAACTAGTGTTGGAATTTTCTTTTTCTAGAGAGGATTTTCCTTTATCCCTTCTTTCCTTAGAGTAACTCTTAGAAGAGTACTTCTCTTCTCCATCACTACAAGAAAAATGACTTATGCCTACACACAAAAA